TTCAACTCCCAGCATTCCCCAGTCAGCTGGCTGGGGAATTCTGGGAGTTGAAGTCCACATGTCTTAAAGTTGGCAAGTTTGAGAAACACTGAACTAGAGTAATGCAAGCCCTAAAAGAGGATTAGATAGAGATGATAGACAGATGGTAGGTAGGTAGGTAGGTAGATAGATAGATATCGATAGAGATAGATAGATAGATGATAAACAGACAGACAGATGATAGATACCCTACCTCCCATCTGCTTAACCCAGATCCACCAAAACCAGGAAACCCCATCCCTGCCCACAGATGCAGTGCATCCCCACTCATTCTGCATCCATGGTTCCCGGCTGCCAAGGTTGCCAACGTTTGGCTTGCTGAACGAAGCAGGCGGGGAGATTTGAGCCTTCTGATTCTCTACACCTAGTGGGCATCAGTCTGGAGACAGTTGAAAGACAGTCATGCTGGGATAGGGGGGCATCTCCAGGAAAAAGGAAGCTCTATTGCCAGCCAATCTTTGTAGGCCCTCAAGATGCTCATAGGAAATTCAAGGAGGCAGGGAGGTAAAAACCCAGATGGAAGAGAAGGCATCTTTTGCCTTTCCTAGATTGTCTTTATTCTGTTGAATTCCAAACTGCTTTTCCTTCATTTTCGTTTCTTTTTTTTTTACAAAAAATAAATACACCCCCCCCCCAAAGTCTTAAATACATCATATAGTAGTGCATGGGTGATCAAGTAGTCCAGGATGGAACACGTTCCTCCATTAGGAGACGAGCATTGGCAGGAAATGGGTGGAAAGGTGGTGCCACCGGGTCTTGGTCCCCCGTCGCGGCAATCCCTTGCTGTTGAGGGAGAGGAACATGGGCTGCCCTTCGTGGTGCCAATGGAAGGAGGCGTAGGTATTGTAGCCGTTCTCTTCAATACGTTCCTTGAACTTGCAGTTGGGACTGTAGGCTTTCTATGATGGATCAGTAGGGGTGGAGAGAGACAGAAACAAGGAGAAATTTCACTGACACGGCTTGTGAATGAGAGGCGGAACCGAAAATCTGGCTTATTAGATTTCTATCTCGCCTTTGGGCTCAAGGCAGCTTCTGTGGGGATCACCTCCATTTTATCTCTGCCATAGCAACCCTGTGAGGAAGGGCAGCCTGAACGAGAGTGTTTTCCTTAGCATTTGCCCCACTTAGTTGCTGATCCACTTCTTTTGCACTGAACTCACCTAGTTTTCATTGCAAAGCATATCAACGCCTGATGCAACAAGGGGGTTGTTTTGCAGCTGGCTGGTTGCAAAGCCTGGCACTAATTTAGGGCTGAGAGGGAATGACTGACCCAAGGTCACCCAGTTGCCTTTGGGGCTTAAGGAGAGACTTGAACCCGGGTCTCCCAGTTCCTAGTCCAACACTTTCACCACTGGACACCTTGCCTTTTGGGCTGAGAGGGAGGGACTGGCCCAAAGTCCCCCAGGGAGCTTCTGTGGCTGAAGGGGGCCTTGAACTTGGTTCTCCCCACTCCTAGTCCAGCACTTTCCCCACTGGACCACCCTGGCTCTCATCATCTCTCATTATATCAGCCAGATTCTTTGTACATTGCGTACTACCGAAGTGGAACAATCCACGCACACCTCAATGAAGTTGCCCATAATTCACTTTGGTGCCATTTTGCATGGAGCCTCACCTTCCTTGCGGGGTTTTATCCCACTGCCCATGGTTAACTGAGAAGAGGAAATTGCTGCCAGAGCTGAAAGCTGGAGCAAACGATGCATACTCCAGTTCTGTAATTTGCTAGAATTTTTGTCTGGTTCAGGCAGAATGAAATGAAAAATGGAACACTGGCAAAGGAAAACAGAGACAATGGAGCAGAGGAAATGTCTTATCCACACAGAGGAGACCAAATTCAAGGAGGACACAGATAGTTAAGAAATCTTCTCTGCCATTCTACATTGCCCTAGTCAGACCCTTATTTGGAGTATCATCTCCAGTTCTGGGCACCACCGTGTGAAAAGGACAGAGACAAATTAGAGCAAATTCAGAGGAGGGTTACCAAGATGGCGATGGGTCTAGGAACCAAACCCCCTGAGACATGGTTAAAGGATCCGGGTATGTTTAGCCTACAGAAAAGACAAGTCCCATGGTTTCTGCTCACCCCACTGGGTTCTGCTGAATCCAAGGCAGCCTTCCCCAACTCAGTGCCTTTTGGATGGGCCAGGAGTTCAACTTCCCAAATTCCCAGCAACTAACAGGGGCTAATCGGAGTTATTGTTCTAATATATAGAAGGCACCAGTTTGGGGGCAGAGAGGTGGCTCCACTTGATGTGGTGGGAGTCATTGAAAAGGTGAACAGGATACCCCCCAGAGTCGCTGGGAGTCAAGCAGCAGCAGCAACAATGATGATGATGGTGGGAAAAGCTGCTTTAGGGTAAGTAAGAGGAGGCCCAGTGGTAATTCCCCTTCTCCCCAAAAGGCACGCAGTTCCATTTACCGTTCCATAGACTTTCCCTCTTCGGTTCATTGCCAGGTAGAAACCACTGTGGATGGATCGAATGGCCACGGTGCCTACCTGCACAGAACGGATCTCCACGATGCCTAGAAGAAACAGGAGAGAGGGCATGGATCTATTAACCCAAATCAATAGGACTTCTGCAAGACCCAGGCTACTGGCAGTAAAGCTGTGTGGCTGAAACAACCAGCAGTTGCTTCTAATAAGCAAACTCCGTATGCGTGCATGTGTGTATGTGCACACTCAAATGTATTGCCACCCACCCTCTGAAGCTTCTGTGCTTCTTTAACTGCTGCCAGTTTGCAGTCAGGAAGTTAAAATTCAACGTAGCAGTTTTGCAGTTGGAAAAAATAAATGCCCAGAGATCAACCTATTAAAAAAAGATGATGGGATTTAAGAAGTATACAGTTTTACTCAGGATGTGCCCCTTTTCTGCTTTGACTTATCCACTTTAGCCTTGCCTCACCCCCGCTGTAACATATTTTTCAAGGTTCAAATAAGGTCCTTGATTCAAAAGACATGACATGCTTGTAGGGTACACTTAAATCCCCGAACAAGACTTCTGAGGCACAGTTCAATTTGTCAATAATAGAAGGCTGGACAAACCTCTTTTTCTCTCTCGCATGTGGTTAACTAAAAGATGTATCCCTAATACATTTCGAATACATCCCACCTCTGTCTTCTCCTCCCTCTTTTCTGTCTTAGTCCATTCCTTGTCTGGAAAAGCTTGATGAATAAGGACTGACTCTGACTGCACGATCAGTCCCATCCCCACCCTCAATTGCACCCCCAATTTTTGTTCCCTAGGACTGCAAGCTCAAAAACTTGCACACGTCTTCCTGTGGAGTCCTTGGGGGTCCAAGGACTCCACAGTTCAACCCTGTTCTCTTCTACTGGTACACTTCTTCCTACTTGTGTAGACCCTCATCCAGCCTGGTTTCAGCAAAGTGGCTGAGAGGCCCGTTGTGCTTAGTGCATTGTGTGAATTCAGCCAATGGTGGTTTATTCAATCATGGTTAAGCAAACCATGGCTTAGCACAGTGCATGAACCAGGTGATGAGGCTCGTTTAGCTGAGGAGTTCCGAATGGAAACTTTTTCTTGCAGCCTAGAAAATTTGGGGTTGGAAAAAGGAAGTGCATTAGACAATAGCTTCCCAGTTATCCCCAGCATCAGTCACACGGATAATAGCAGGGCTTCCAGATCATGTGAATTTGTGCCAAGGGCCACATGTGGTCAGTGAGTCATGCCTCAGACAGAGGTCCTCTTTTAACTGGGCCAATTCAAGTTCTCAGCACAATGTGCAACCTTTGGGGTTTTCCACTAAAGGGGCATGAAAACATGGAGTGGGGAGAAGAACCCAAAAAAGGGCACATTCAAGGCAGAGAGTTCGCATTCTGTTAACAGTTTTAAGTTGGAACATGGGCAAAGACTGCAGACATTTGGATTACGTTTTCCCAGATGGTTTCAAGTTGCCCTTAGGAATCCCCAGAGATTTCAGGGCGAAGAAACAAGTCAGCTGAGAGCAATTCCCAAGTCTGAAATTAAAAAGCTCTTCTGCTAATTGTAAGTCCTGTGGGTTGCACAGTCTTGGATGCTGTAGGTTGGTTCTCACAGAGTCAGTGAAAAATAGCATGGCTGCAAATCTAATCTAATCATTGCCAAAACAAGGGATAGATGGAAAGAGGGGCCAAACATTAGGTAGGGCAGGAAGGAGAGAGACCAGAGGCTTTGAAGATTGAAGCTCTTAGTAACTGTTGGTTCCAATCCTGCTTGTTGGGTAAAGCCTGACAGATGTCGAAAAGCTGGACTCCCCTACAAACAGAAAAGCACTGGTTGGGTACTTTGTAGCGCAAGTATTGGGGGGACCTTCATGTGAAGTAAACCAGGCCACCACAATATGCCAAAATATGATTTAACTGTTTGGGGATAGTGTGTTAAGGCTCTGTTCATACAACACCCTTAACTAGGCCAAGTAAATACATAAATACATTCACACAATCTATTCAATGTGTTCTACAAGTCCAGAACTTAGTTTAAATAACCTGGTTAAGCATAATGTGGAATGAAACTAAGCTGTGGTTTTTTTAACCTAGGTTTACAGTTTTGCATATTGTGAAAACTCGGCCATGGACTGACCAAAGGTTCCATGCTTCTGTGCCATTTTTCGGCTGGCCCTTGACGTCTGCCAAGTATATAGTTAGTTTAAACACGATCTCCTTTTGCTTCTCTAGAACCAGCAATTTCTGTATTTGTTTTTCTTTCAAATCTCCTGTCTTGATATGGCTTCAAAATCGGAGGTTTTGTCCAAGTGGCTTTCAAATATCCAGGGCCTTCCAGGAGTGCCCAAAACACTCCTGGAAGGCCCTGAATTATGTCCCAGCAGCAAGCAGACACTTTGCCCAAAGCTCAAGCGTGATCACGGTAGACACACAAATTCACAACTTGGACTGCCTGCCCCTTCCTTCCTTGTCCTCCTCCTGATCACTCTTCAAGCACAAGCTTATAATTTGACTTTTATTAGCTTCATCAGTTTCAAAAACCAATCCTCAGTTCTCATCTTTGGCTTTTCCTCTCAGGAATCTCAAGATGAGTTTTTCCTAAAATTCCTAAATAACAGGCAGATTTCACTAAGAAGGAAATACTGTACGAGGAAATAAATTTTGCTAAAGATTTTTTTTGGGGGGGGGCTGAGAGGCTTAACAGGCTTCTGGTTCTCTCCTTGGAGCCTTCCCCCAAAGCAAGGACAAGAAATAAACTTCCATTAAAATCAGATGCGATTTTTTCTTTTTCTATTTAATACTTCTATCACTGAAAAAAATAATTCTATTAAGAAACCAGTGAAAGACTATACCTTACAACAATGTTTCTCAACCTTGGCAACTTTAAGATGTCTAGACTTCAACTCCCAGAATTCCCCAGAATTCTGGCTGGGGAATTCTGGGAGTTGTAGTCCAGTCTTCTTAAAGTTGCTAAGGTTGAGAAACACTGCCTTACAAAATCTCTGCTGCTGATTTTAAGCAGACTGTTTCTGAGCAAAGAGAACTTCAGAGGAAGGATCTTAAACTGAGGAAACAATTTTGAAAAGATTTTTCAAATAAAATATACTGACACTGAAAAATTAATTTGATCCATTTGGGTCTGAATAGAGACTCTTGCCCGCCTCAATAATTAATGTCTATAAGCATTGCATTACATTTAAACCTTAAGAATCAGAGATGAAATGAAGGGTCTCACATTGTTTTTAAAATTTCATTGCCATCTAACAGTGTCTTTATATTTATTTTAAAAGATTTGTATGGCTACCCATCTTTTATAGTTTTATTGCTGTGAGCCACCCAGAGCAATAAAACTATAAAAACCAGAAAAACATATAAAACCTAAAAACCCAGTGCCTTGATCATCTCCCAGAGTGCCCCAACAACTCTCTGCAGGTACCATTGTCTCCCCCAGTGCCTGAGTAAAGAGCCAGGTTTTAATGGCTTCCTGGAAGGCTGGGAGGGTGGGGGCCTGCCGGATTGTTGGGGGGAGTGTATTCCATCAGGTGGGGGCAGCCATGGAAAGACACGCTTCCTAGGTCCCAGTAGATGGCAATGTTTCATGGAGCGTGCCCATCCTATCTGATCTAGTGGGACAGGAAGATACCCTCAGGGAGAGGTGGTCCTGCAAGTAACCTGGCCCTGTGCCATGTTAGGGCTCTAAAGGTGATAACCAACACCATTAATTGCACCTGGAAAGCAACTGGGAACCAGTGCAGCTTGTGCAACAGGGGACCCACGTGGGTGAACCTACAGGTACCCAATGCTGCACACACCACTGCATTCTGGATCAGTTGTAACTTCCAGGTGGTCTTCAAGGGCAGTTCCACACAGAGCACGTTGTGATAATCCAAACGGGAAGTGGCCAAGGCATAGTGACCATGAGCAAGGCCTCTCGATCTTTGACAGTTCCCTGCTCCTCCGCTTGTGCAAATATAATAAACAAGAACATTCAAGAAGCCACTGTTGTGAGCTGCCCAGAGTTGTTGAGAGTTGGGTAGCGCTTTGGCTAGCAATGAGCCCTTCTGGATCCATCAAGACAGTGAGATGATACCCCTCCACACAGGACTCCGATAATGCCATCACTAAATATGTGCAATTGTGCCAGCTTCTTCATGTTTTGCCCAACAGTATGCATGTGAAATAGGGGGAAATTGGAGTCTGGTGCAATTGTGTGTGTGTGGGGGGGGGGGACATCTTGCTTGTCTGATGGTGTTACACTCCAGTCTGGAAGAACCCAATATCCAAAGCAGTTCTGAAAGAATATCTGGTTAGATCCTTGCTGCAAGGGGTTTACAATCCATAAAGATACATAATTTCATGCTGAAATGTATGCCGCCTTCCTTCTTGTGCATTTCCAGCTGGTAGGAGCAGCTGGCTGAAAAGCAGCATAGGAGACAAAGCATGCTCTTCTCCCAAAGGGTGAAGCACAGCCCAAGGTTGTTATTGCCCACAGGAGCCAAGAATAATGTGGACTGGCTGGGATGTCACTTGTACACAGAGACGATCCATGAACTATGCCGCTAAAGGAAAAGAGTTTTGAAGTGGGATCAGGAGCTAGACTGAACCAGCAACTTACTCAGACTTAGTTTAGAATCAGAACCTGGTCAGAATAGAATCCCAAAACCATAGAATTGTGGTGTTGGAAGGGCCACAAGGATCATGCAGCCCAACCCTCTGCAGCGTACAAAGAAAACCAGTTAGAATAATAGAGCCATAGTTACTGTTTTGGTTTTAAAACATGAAAAGCTGTGACAATGACAAGAGGACAATTGAGGTCATGCAGACTGTATTTATTCACTGATGAGTAATCAGTCACAATTAGCCTCTAAAAATCTGAGACTTTCCAGGTTTCATCTCTTTTGCAACTTCCTGAACCACTGAAATTGACTCTGCACCAAGCTTCCCAACGAACGTTTCATTGATGGAATAAAATCATGTTAACAGGTTTACTCCTATGTGTCTAATGCTCAAGGAGAACTAGATGATTTTGTTTGAATAACAATAGGAGATGGGAGTTCCTGGTAAGGTACCCAGTCACTTCCCAGCATCAAATACCTTTGGCTGGGGGTGATGGGAGCTGTAGTCCAACACACCCGTTGGGCACCAAGTGGGGGAAGGCTGACTACAACTTACTGTTCAGGCTCTCCTTCCGACGTGTCCCTTCGACTTTGCCATCACCGCCAATGCGTAGGAAGAAATGATTGGAGGAGTAGAGGCGCCGCCAGCGCACATCACCTTCCAGGTGGTGGTAGCTCCGTGCATGCCGGCGAACATCTGGCCAGGGACACGCAATGTCTGGCTGCTGAACTGAGTCTCTGGGTTCCCTGGCAGATGTGGCCAACAGGAGGGTCATCAAGGAGAGACCAAAAGTGTAGCTGGCTAGTGGGTTCCACCAACCCATGGCCCGCTAGGCCTTGCGCCAGAAGAATCTGTTTGGCTTCCAGAGGGGCAAAGACAACCATGTGGCTTCACGGTGTCGACTGTGGCAAGGCGCTCAGAATAAATCCACGGATCTCAGGGCCGTCACCACAAGGAGCGTCTTCTGGTGGGGCCGTGGTGGAAAGTCTTTACCAAAATAGGCAGGAGACGGTGTGGAAAAGCTCACCAGGCGTCTGGGTCAGAGTTCTCAGCAGGTGAAGACAGCAGCGGCATCAAACGTTCAGGGATTTGCTTGAGGTTTAGCCACTAGCTCAGCCCTCTCCGATCCTCAGGTTGCGGATTTAGCCCCGCTTTTCAGCTGAGATCGGTCTAGGGGCTCCAGGGAAATGCTAAGAGGATCCTGACAGCTGAACCGGCTGTGCCAGAGAGAGGCGTGAAGGTTTTGGTATTGACATGAGAAGAAAAATGCACACCTATGTTTGTTTCCTCCTCCTGCCCAGAAGGGGGATTGGCTGAATCTACCTCCATCCAATAGCGAAATCCCAAAGGCGGGGCAAAGTATCTTCCATTCATAAGTCTCTTTTGGAATCTTAGCTCATAGGCCAGAATGAATGTGAATGGACAGATGCAGTGACTAGAATTTCAACTAACTGCCGGGCATCGAAGTTCTCCCCACTGCTTTCTGATGGAGAGATTCTCTAAAAAAAGGGCTAAGGAATACTTGCAAGAGAATTGGTTTAAAAAACATTATACGACAAGCAGAATATGGACGATCTGAATGTCAGAAGAGCCTCCTGGAACAGACCATAGTGGATCTCTTTGCGCCAGCATTTTTTTTTTTTCTTCAAATAAGGGTTAGCCAGTTGCCTTTGGAGGGCTCACAGGCAACAGCCTCCTTTGTTGTTTGTTGGCCAGCATTTGCCATTCAGAGGTAGACTGCCTCCAGATATGGAGGCTCATCTCTTTTCCACCACCATTAATTTCTCTGCTAACTTTTGCAAGTCATCTGGTCCATACAACACGCAAAACCATTACACGTAGTGCAACTCCATTCACTGTGCTAAATTAATTATGGGGTATGACATAGTGTGTTGTGTCGGCCCAGGCAACTGTAGTTTATTCAATAAGCTCTGATTAAACAAAGCCTGACTTTTTTGCAGTGAGTGAACTAGGTTTCCCATTCAAATCAGTTCATTGATCAATTTTTAGCTAGTCATTATCCCTCAGCCTAACCTTCCTCAGGATTGCTGTAAGAATATTTATGGTGCTTTAAGTGCCTGGGGGGGGGGGGAAAAAAATTAAAAACAGCCACAAAAAAAAAACT